AAAAACTGCAGGATTTTAATTTTTCTATTAGATTTGCATCTTGTTAGCATTAATGAATTATTATTGAACATAATATATTTTGACTGGTTGATAAACCTGTGCCGAAAAATTTGTTTATGCTACATGCTTTTGTTTAACTAACAAATATCAAGCTGTTAGATGGTGGTTTGCAGTTAAGAATACATCAGTTATGTTAAACTATTTACCAAAAAGTAATTTTTAAACATGGATCAAATCTTTCAAAATATTGCGCTAAATTTGACCCTTAGGTTATGACTAAAACTACGTCTACACATCTACATTTTTTCAAATTCTGACAGATGGAAAGGAGGTGGTTGTGTGTTAGCCTTTCAAATTAAAAGTTTTTATTCTTTTACCAATAAAATTTATCAAAGAATAAATTATTACTATTTTACAGAAATCCAAAGCAACGAGTTAACTTACAGCTATACCCTAAAATTCAGTAAATGTTAGCTGTAGCATTTGCTAAACCTCTAAGTATTTAGTAAAAAGGTGGTTGTAATTTTTGATAATTAACAAAATAAAAGTTTTGAAATGAAACGACACATTTAATCCTACTAAGTTATTGATATGGTCCTTATTCTGAATTTTAACAGCCAATTGACCCTTTATAGGGCAACTTAATGTTTTTTATCACTTGCATCCACCTTACAAATGAAGTCCCCCCCGAAAACGAAAAGCCAAAACTGAAATTTTCTCTGGTTCTGCTGATTATTAAGCAGTAAAGATTAGCTTTATTTATCATCTGGAAACTTTACTGGTTGGTGTTATCTTAGGCTTAATTACTTTGTTGAACATAAAGACTGACTTCTTCATTTTTTGTTCTTTTTGTTATACTTAAAAAATAGTTTCATTATTATTTTAGAACTTTAATTAGCCTGTCAAATATTCCTTAACTTTTATTTATGTATTTTATCTACATGGTACCACTATCAATCATGAGGTCTTCCTTTCTTGGAGAAGTTTCTGTATTTCATCTGTTGGTGTTTTCTCTGTTTCTAAATGACTCTAATAAAAAACAGAATGAGTCATGGCATTGGTTTATTTAATTAAATAATATTTTCTTCACAATAAGGAACAAAGTTTTTCCCCAGAAGTCTTCGATAACTGGGTCATCTACAGAAAATGACTAATAAATGTTATAAAACATTTATACAGATGATCAAATTCCTCTGAGTTGGATCCTATTTCAGGAGTTAATCTTTGCTTTTTCCTCTTAGATTAGTAATTTAGCAACAGAAGTTAGATCTGAAATGAAACGGCGGAGCTGTTGAATGAACATCTTGTGTAAAGTCCCTCAGTCATGTTGGGTCGATGTTTTCATCTCCACTCTCTCAACAGTTCAACATCCTGTAAGTCAGGGGGATTTCCACTCCTTCGCTGAAGACTGACGCTCAGTTTAAAAAGAAAACCGCAGCTCGTAAAGGTTGAGGAGTTTATTTTTGGTAACCGAATCTACTACCAGAGATCTTCCTTCTCGTGACAGAATGCTCTTATAGACTTTCTAATGTAAAATTCATCAGTTTCCCCCGTTCGCCTCATAATTCCTCTGCCTCAGTAGGTTCAGCTCTCGGTCAGCAGAGTGAGTCTGTTTCAGATAAAGCAGAGGGACTCCCACAAACCGAAAACAAGCTTGGCCTGAAGGGCCAAAAATGGCTTATTTAAGCTGAATTTACAGAGAAGCTAACATTCTCTGAAAAGCTTACATTTCAAGGTTTCATAATAGAGGGTTCCATTAATAAAATGTCTCCTGTGTGAGGTTAATAAAGTCAATCAATCAATAAATATAATCTTAAAGATATACACTGGAAAAATTATCTAGAAATAAGTAAAAACTTCTTAAATTAAGTGTATTTACCCTTAATTTTAGTAGGTAAATGAGATAGTTTGCTAATGGAATTAGTATTTTTACTCTTAAAATAAGACAATTAGATGATATGCACATGAAATAAGACAATGCAACTGTGTTTTCTTATTTGAAGTGTAAATTGTCTTGTTCCATTGGCACAATGTCTCTTTTACCTCCTCAATTCAAGAACAAATGCACTTATTTTAAGAAAAAATGACTTATCTAGATTTCGATTTTTTCCAGTGTAGTGGACGATTTTAGCAATTTCTTTTAAAGACCCGCCCTCTCCATTTAAAAAAAAATGCATGTGCACGACCCTGTACCCTCTCTGAGAGGGAACGCCTATTACACTGCAAAAACAATATAGAAATAAGTAAAAAATAAAATCCTAAATTTAAGTGCATTTATGATGATTTGCAAAAAGGATGAGTATTTTTACTCTTAAAATAAGATAATTAGATAATATGCCCTTGAAATAAGACAAAGCAATTGTTTTTCCTTATTTTAAATGTAAATCCTCTTGTTCCATTGGCAAAGTGTCTCACTTTCCTCCACAATTCAAGACAAAATTCACCCATTTT